TCTGCTTCTCAGTTTCAAATCCGATGAAAAGTGTGGTGTCTGCTCCGATCAGTTTCAAATCCGATCCGTGGTCCATCGACGCCCCAACTAAGGGGAAACATTGTGGTAAGCCGGAGACAGGTATGGGATGTGGAAAACACACAACATGTTAGTTCAAATCCAACCACCCACCACCAAACCCTCCAATCCCATCAACCCCTTTCTTTTTTCTTGGAAAACATTCCTTCGTTATTGCGGGCGTAAGTACGCCCCCGATAACTTTTGTTTGTTGATAAAGAGACCTGAGTTCGAGTCCCGCTGGGATCAGACGAATGGAGTGACTTACAGTAGAATTACGTGGGGCCTTTCAGTTGGAGGACGATAGCTTACGTCAAGGCCGTCGCCCCACTTTTTTTTAAATAAAAAGAATAGGAGGGAGGAGGAGGAGGAGGAGGAGGAGGAGGAGGAGGAGGCGCTGCCAGCCTGATGCTTGAGCGATACAAATGTGAGACAATGTGTGGCCAGTATGCCCCACGATATGCCCTTTCACGCATTCACACACACACAGCTGATCGTACGGGCAAAAAAAAAAAAAAGAGGAAAAACAGAGAGTACAACCAAACAAACAAAAAAGGCAATTGAACTTGGCCAGATTAATTAGAAAATGGCGTCTTCTCTTTGCCTCTCTCCCTGCGGCGCGCCCCACTCTCGCTCTTGTTTTCTGTCTGCACGGTAGTTAGGAGATGAATCTGGCCACATTTTTGCGCTGAAGGCAGCGGAGAAATGTGACCAGATACATTCGAAATGGACCCTGCTCTCTCTCTCTCTCTCTGCGTTCCGTCATTAGGGGATGAATTTGGCCACACTTTTGTGCAGAATGCAGCGCAGAACGTGACCAGATTCGTTTGAAAATGGCTCTTGCTCTGTATCTCTCTCTCTGTGGCACGGCCATTACGGGCAGAATCTGGCCACCTTTCTGCACTGAATGCAGTGCAGAAGCTTGGCCAGATTCATTTGAAAACGCCAGCTGCTCTGTCTCCCCGTGCTCTCTCTCTCTCTCTGTCTCTCTCTCGCTCTCTCTCTCTCTCTCTCTGTGCGCTATGGCCATGACTGGAAGAATCTGGCCACATTAGCACAGACTGCACTGTGATGTGGCCACATACATTGAATATAAGGCCGTTCTCTCCCTCTCTCTCGTTTCCTGTCTTTGCGGTCAGGGGATGAATCTGACCGACCACATTTTTGCGCTGAATGTAGTGCAGAAATGTTGCCATATTCAGGTCATGGGATGAATCTGACCGACCACCTTTTTGCGCTGAATGTAGCACAGAAATGTTGCCGGATTCATTCTAAAATGTCCCTCGTTCCCTCTGTGTGTGTCATTACGGGATAAATCTGGCCGCATTTTTGTGGATGAAGGCAGAGCAGAGTTCCATTTGAAAATGGCCCTGCTCTCTCTCCCTTTCTCTGTCTGTGCTGCAGGCATTACGGGATTGTGGTCACATGTTTGAACTGAATGTAGCGCAGAAACGTGGCCAGATTCATTGCAAAATGGCCGCTGCTCTCTCTCTCTGCTCTGTCATTACGGAATAAATCACAGAGATGTGTCCAGATGCATTTGAAAGTGGCCCCTGCTCTCTCTCTCTCTGTGCTGCAGCCGTTATGGGAAAATCTGGTCATATTTTTGTACTAAATGTAAGGCAGAAACGTGGCCAGATTCATTCCAAAATGTCCGCTGCTCTATCTCTCTGTCTACGGTCTATCATTCCAGGATAAATCTGGCTGCACTTTTGTGCTGAGTGCAGTGCAAAAATGTGGCCAGATTCATTTGAAAATAGTCCCTGCTCTCTCTCTCTCTCTCTCTCTCTCTCTGTGTGTGTGTGTGGCATGGGCAGTTTGGGAAGAATCTACCCACATCTTTGCAATGCATGTAATGCAGAAACGTGGTCAGATTTACTCTAAAATGGCCGCTGCTCTCACTCTCCCTATCCTCTGCCATTACAGGGTAAATCTGGCCAGATTTTTGCGCTGAATGTGGCATAGAAATGTGGCCAGATGCATTTGAAAATGGTCCCCGATCTCTCTCTCGCGTTTTCTGCCTGCGCCGTCATTAAGGGATGAATCCAGCCAGATTTTTTGCTGAATGAGAAATGTGGCCAGATTCATTCTGAAATGGCCAATGCTCTCTCTCTCTCTCTCTCTCTCTCTCTCTCTCTCTCTCCTTCCTCGGTCATCACGGGATGAAACTGGCCATTGATGAATATTTGTATTTTAGCCGAATGCGGTGCAGAAATGTCGACAAATTCATTTGAAAATGGGCCCTGCTC